GCATAATCCACTGGCCAGGCAAAGACCTGGTCCTTTAGCCCTCTGTTACTTTTCTATCGCATCACCTGCAATGTTGCTTACTTTATTTAGGCAACTCCACATCAAAAAGTGAAAAGATTTTGCTCTAAGACTTGGAGATCCCTTTTAGCAGCTCTGACATTAGGGGAGTGGGTAGAGGGAAAGGCTGGCAGGGAGTTCCTGTGTGTGTTTGTTTATAGGCTAAATTTTATACACACAGTAAGCAAACAAAAGTGGGTTTCTGGTTCTGATAGTGGTAATGTTGCCTGAAACAAAGCTAGACACAGTATTCTCATCACTAACAGCCCTTATGAAATCTTCACTAATAATCACTTTATGCTTATTATAAACTGCAATTTCTAGATGAGCTGGTAAAATATAATTAAATTTACAAAAAAAACCCTAAAGCAGGTTTTGTTTTGTAGAACTTGAAACAGTTTAATTTTATTTTTTCTGTGAAATTTATTATTAATATAAATTAGTTGATTTTTATTGAAATACTTTCTAAATATTTCAGGAGAAAAATGGGTTTTACAGATGAAGCATGACTTAAAATGATTTTTTTTCTGTAGCAATTGTGAAAATGATTTAATGTCTTATAAGCAACACTAAGTAAAAAGATTTGTCAAAACGTCATAGCAAAATTGATATAAATGTGCAAAAATATTGTTTTAGTAATGCTGGCAACTTTTCAAAAATGTTTTTGAAAAAATGGCTACTTCACAAAAATAAAACCCCTAACCCTTATTGTGAAATTTTCCAAACAGATTTACTTCTAAGGTTCTGTCTTTAAACTTTATTGGAGCATAAATAGAAGAATAGACCCAAGGTTATCAGACTCCTCCAGGAAAAGGTACTTTGGAAAATTTCTGTTAGGATGCTAACTCTTACGAAGTGGGAAAAGCTCTCAGTGTTGATTTGGGGTTAGAACTTTAACTGGAGAGGAGCAAAGTTAAATTACATTTAAAATGTCCACCCAACAGGGATCAAACTGTTTGTTTCTTTCAAGCTAGAGGTTTTCTAACTTTAGCTTTCAGAAAGCCAGATGGTACTTTAATCTTCATGTTGGCTTCACGGAAAAGGCAAACAATTACAGTATTATCTCAGTGCCATTTGCACAATTAGAGCTAAGGGGGGAAGGTAGTTCCTGCTAGTACATCCATTACGACTTCTTTTTTCAGTTTCACATCTGGCCAGAGAAATTGTTACTCTCTGAAAAGCAGGTTGTACACAGGAATGATTCTGCATTTCAGCTGTCTGTGAAAAGTACTTCTGAAACATATAAATACTGGGCTCCAGAGGTTTGTATAAAATAACACTCAGTCAGATAAAATAAGCAGGGAAGCCCCTTTGCAAACAATTCAGAATCAGGTAAAGACCAGAGGTGATAATCAGAGGATTATTTCCCTATGAAATATTTTAAAGTTTTGAGGTGGTGGTTTTTGTTTTGTGTGGGTTGGTTGGGGTTTTCTTTTTTTTTTTTTAAAAGAAGGCCCTATGTGCTTTTCAGACCAAATCCTCCATAAACCACCCTCTATCTTTAGGCAAACCTTAATGTGTACTTTGGGTCTGTACTGTTACAGGTTGCTTCAGCAGATGATTAACAGTATGCCTACACTCCACTACAAGTCTCATTAACTTCAGAAGGCTTTCCATATGCTTAAATACTGGTAAATCTGTGTTCAGATAACTGGTGAAAGAATTCAGTCTCCTACCTATTGCTTACAAGCTCAAATGCAAGGGATAAAAACTTCTGTCTAATGCTGCATGGTGATGGAATAGCACTGGCTGGAAAGGGTTATCACCCCTGCATGGTCCTTCCTCCCCAAAATACCTGCTGACTGCAGGGAGAGGGAACGTTGCTTTAGGACCTCCTAAGGAAAGGCGTTATGCCTGATAGAGCTAACCAGAAGACCTGGTTAAGAGGATATCCAGAGGATCACTTGTAAATACTTTCTTGTAAATACCACAAAATAAACTTTTGTTTCAGGCTGAAATTGAACTTTTCATTGGAGAAAACAGGAGGAAAGTCCATTTTAAAAAGAAAAAGATAACTCAGGTGGATGCAGATGGAAATTTTCCTGGTTTTATTTCTGTCCAGCTTTTTCACTGAGCATAGGTTTTGACATTATTCTTGCTACAAATGGAACTTCTGAGCAGCATGCAAGAAAAATTGCAGTGGCACTGGAGCTACGACAGCACAGTCTTCTCTGGCTGAATTTCCTAATGCTTCTCAGAAGATGACAGCTACATTAATCTTGCTACCTCTGTGTGAGCAAAAAAAAACTCACTTGCACAATTTCTGATTCTAATTATATTTCATAAAAATATAAACTGGAACATCCTCCAGCTCCAGCCAATACTGATGTTCTGTGATGTGATGATGCCTAGATAAGAAATAAACCAATTTCTCTATCCAATGTCTCTCATGAAGTGAGGCAGTTTTCCTGTTTGATAATTCAACAGCAAAAAAAAAGAATTTCTATCTCAGTTCCAAATCATATGAACCAAACTCAAGCATTATTTTTTTAAATTTCTGTGATCTGCTTTGAGACAAGAAAGTGTTCCAAGACTCAGTACAAGTCAGACTATGTTTTCACTGAGCAAAACTCTTCTATTTTCATAAAATAATTTTTCCCATGCTCACCATCCTATCTAGCTTTAACTACAAGGAGAACTAAGTAAGAGAAAAAACCGACTACTGTAAGCACGCATTTGTGTGTGGGTGTCGAGGTACTGAGATTATTTTCCCTATATGCCTTCCATGAAATGCTTCAAGTCATTTGTCCTCATTAGGCTGTCACGATGAGAGAACTATTATACACAGCACCTTTGGGCAGGGGTAATAGAGAGACTTGCAACTTAACCTTGCAGTTTATGAACCAGCCCAAAACATGCTCCAAAGGTTAGTTTTTAAAAGACTGGCAGTGAATCTCATAACTAAATCCTATCTAGAGGCTGCTGACAGCCAGACTTCTTGAAAATAATCCATTTAAGTTGCCCTCAGCTGGCCAGAAACTGAAGAATATAGCATGCACAAAGACAGTAAACACTAGAAAATTGCCAGTCTTGCAGCCTGAGGTTCTCCAGCTCTGCATATGCTGAAAGCCCAGTTATGAGATGTTAGCATGGATTATGCTGCTCCTACCTTGCTACCTAGTTGGAGAGGTACAGTGTTGGACAGCCCTCCTGACAATGTAAGAGCTTAATTAAAACACTTGACTAACCCGCAGCTGAAAGATACTGGCTTGGGTGGGAGAGAAAACCAA